AGAAAATAAAATGTGATATTTTGTGAGAGAGAGTGAGTGAGTGAGGCCTTCCTAAAAGAGAGATTGAGAGAGAAGTAGAGTTTTGGCTTAAGTAGAGAGAGAGAAAGTAGCGAGAGAATAAAAAAATAAATCATAATGGGCCTTGTAGAAAAAGAGGGAGATAAGAACTCACCTTTGAAGAGTGTGGGGCCTTCCTTGCTCAAATCTTTTGTAGGGCATAGAAGACTAAAGAGAGGGAGACCTCGAGTTCGAATCATGTTGACGAACAATAGGTCAATACTAAGGCAGGGGATGATGAAGGAGAAGCAGGTGCGCAGGGTAAAAAATGCGCGGGCAAAACAGGGCTGATGAAGGAGAAGCAGGTTCGCAGGTAAAAAATGCAGGGGCAAAGGGGCGTAAGAATAGGGTAAAAAAATAACAAAGGTTAATTAAAGAGAAAAAAGGGGTAAAAGGGTCCGAATTTTATGTTTTTTAGGTTGGGGGTTTTTAGTTATCAAAGTTGATTTTGAATAAAAAGTAGTGAGAAAATTTTGGGGTGGGAGAAGAGTGTCTATAGAGTATATTCTAGTGGGTTTTTAGCAATTTTCTCTTATTTATATTATTTTTATTGTCTACTTACAGCGATTAACATGTATAGGGATGCTACGAGCTGCACTTAGTAGTGAAGTAATAGCAGGGGAATCCAAACGTTTGGTACAGATGACCTACGATTTGTTAGTGCAGAACACTTCTATAGATAGTGCCAAGGAGATGGTGGAGGGAGATGATGGGAGTGAGGGCGAGGAGACAGATGGTGGAGATGATTAAAACGAGAGCCATGATGGAGATAGTGGAGATGAGGAAAGCAAGACTGAAGAGGGAGATGGTGGAGATGAGGAAAGAGAGACTGAGGGTGGAGAAGAGGAAAGAGAGAGCGAGACTGATGAGGAAAATGAGAGGAGAACAAAGAGTAAAAATGATAAAGGCAAGGGTATTGCAAGTTGGCCAAAGAAATGATTGAGGTGAAGAAAGTGAGAATTATGTATTTTTTTGAAACAAATGTAAATTGAAAAGGTTATGAACCTTTTTTGAAATAGATGTTAAGTTCTTTTGTACATTTGAAGATACTCTATCATAGTAGCCAGTTAATGAAATGTACATTCTTTTTGTTGTCATTATGTTAATGGAAGCAATACCCTTTTAAGTGCTTTTTGTTGTCATACTAGCCAGTTAACGAAAATCTAATAGCAATACCCTTTAAATGAAATTTGCAAACTACTCAAGGTGTTCTTTATCAATGTAGTTCCTGCTTTGAAACTTGGTCAAGCATAGGCCAACGAGTTTGTAACCTTATCAATGTAGTTCCTATTTTGAAAATGTTGATATGAATGAGTTTGAAAGATTGGTATGATAAAATTGTTGATGATTCATTTTTCTTGGATCATTGCATAAGCACTTGTTCATAGGCCAATACATAGCCCAATCCATTGGAAATTAATCATTGTTGTTGCATGTTCATATTTCTTCCCAGAAGTTCGGCACTTCATGCATAGCAATCCGGCATTATTCTTCCTGAATAAAATGTGCTCTGGCACTTGTAAAATGTGCTTTGGCACTTGTAAAATGTGCTCTGGCACCTATAGAAGGAACTTCGGCACTTATGGAACACGCTCTGGCAAATGATGAAGCTACTATGGCACTTCATTCATAGCAGTCCGGCACTCAACTCGCTGGATGAAAGGCCAATCCGGCACTTCACTAGCTCAGTCCGGTGAATACCTCATTGGATTCATGGACACTCCGGCATTTTAAAAACATCGGATCGGCGCTAATGTCAACCAGTCCGGAGTTTGTGAGCTTCAGTCCGATGAATAGCTAATGCCGCTCCGGCATGTGTAGAAGGGCGGACCGGCGAATAGCTCAATGGAGTGGGTGCACTTCGGCGTTTCATATGCGCGCTCCGGCGATATATTGACTTCGATATGCTTAGTCCGGCGTTTGTGAGCCTCGGTTCGGCCAATAGCTCACTGGATTCAATGCCGCTCCGGCTTGTGTAGAACAGCGGACCGACGAATAGCTCACTAGAGTGGGTGCAGTCCGGTGTTTCATATGTGCGCTCTGGTGATATATTTACTGTGATAGGCTCAGTCCGGCATTTGTGAGCCTCGGTCTGGCTAATAGCTCACTGGATTCAATGTCGCTCCGACATGTGTAGAACAGCGAACCGGCGAATAGCTCACTGAAGTGGGTGCAATCCGGTGTTTCATATGCGCGCTCCGGCAATATATTTACTGTGATATGCTCAGTCCGGCGTTTTGTGGTATTGCTCTGGCAATTTAGCTACAGGAGTGGGTTCAATCCGGCCATTTATGTGCGTGGTCCCACGATATGTTTAGCAGTCCGACGATATAGGGTATAATTCAAGCAATTTAGTTACTGGAGTGGTGCAGTCTGGTCATTTTGTTGCAAGGTTCGGTGATATATTTACTGTGATTTGCTCAGTCCTGCATTTTGTGGTATGATCCTACAATTTAGCTAAAGGAGTGGGTTCAGTCTGGCCGTTTATATGAGCGGTTTGGCGATATGTTTATTGTGATGTGTGCGATCCGGCGATATGTGGTATCATTCCAACAATTGTGTTACTGGATTGGTGCAGTCCGGTCATTTTCTTACGCGGTCCGGCAATATTGTTACTTGTCAGACAGGCTATTTGTAGGAAAACTCTGGCAATGTTATTACTGGAGTGGATTCAATCCGGTGTTTTAGATGTGCAGTTCGGCATATCATTGTCCAATAAGAACTCCGGTAGTTTTGAAATGCAGTCCGCCATATATTGTATATCTGGCAAATAATAACCGTGGTCCGGTGAAAGTTTTATAGTGGATCCGTTCAAAGGTATGGGAAGGGGTATTTTTGTCAAAAAAAAAAGTAACTTTTTCAGTTGGAGGGTTTTAATAAAAAAAATTGGTTTTTAAACGAAAGAAGTAATAAAATGTTAGAGTCGGGGTAGAGTATCTAAAAAGCTCAATTTTTGGGGGTTTGTCATATCTACCCTTGACTTAATAAAAGTATGAGGAAGAAAAAGGAAACGTGGTTGGAAAGTTTGCCATATCTACCCTTGACGTAAACCTTAAAAAGTGCAAGAATTCGGGATCCTGGTTGGAATTCGTTTGAAAATCCAATGTAGAACTCAGGATTTATCTGATGCTTTTAAAAATAGGAATGAATCTCATGACTCTTTAAGTGTAATCAACCTTTGGTCTTGCCAATCCTAATAACCTAAGGTTTAAAAACAGGGTTCAATGACCCTGATCGCCCCTTTAGAAAATTGATCTGGGTCGAAAGATCGGTGGTCCATATTGGCGATCCGACCTAGTGAACCGGCTAATAAAAAATTCAAAAATATTAAAAAATAAAGTAAAACCAGTTCTTTGACAGAGCGCACCGGTTCTGTCGAAAAACTAGCTAGAACTGGTTGGTTCTCAAAGGGAACAGTCCAATTCCCAATATTTAGGCATAATTGGACGGGCATTAACGATTCTTTATCTGAAACGGTTGATTCGTCCGGTTCACCAATTTTTTAAAACCAAACTAGGCGTATTTGGTCATCTCTTCATGTTTAAGGAAAACTTTTGTCATTCAATGAAAAAAAAGAAAATGAAAACTTTTTCATTTTAAAATTTGTCATCGTCAACCCAGCCATCTAACCACACACCTGAACGTGCAAACGCATTTGAATTTAGCGCGAAATGTTGGTAACGGCTACTGTTTTTTAACTGCCTCCCCAAAAATACAGCCACCACAAAACTATTTCCCTTTGTTTGGCCCACGCTGCCTAACACTCCAATTTTCAACTACCAGTCATAACCCCTTGAATCACCAAGACCCCCTTCCCCCATCTCTCTCTCTCTCTACCAGTCCAACTTCCTCTTGGCAAGTAAGGAACATCGTTTCTGGATAGCATTTCTATGTCCAAAAAATGTAAAACCAATGCAAACTATCCTAAATATTTTTTTAATAGAATTATTATTTTTAGTTCTAAAGTTTTATTTATTTATTCATATTCACGATCTCCATATTAGAAATTACATGTCTTTAAAAATTAGAGAAAATTACATATATATTTGTTATAGTTTCTTTTATTACGGGTCTACCGAATAGTTTCCGTTATTACCACCGTATCTGTTTTTTTCATATCAAAACAAAATTTAAAAAAAAAAAAAAAAAACGAACGTTACTTTTTTTAATAACCGAAAATACACCAATTTCTGTTCTTGAAGAACCGAAAATTTAAAATTTTTGGTTGTTGAAGAACGAAAAATTTTAAATTTTTGGTTCTTCAATAACGGAAAAATGTTTTTTCTCTTGTGGTGTATTTTCTCTGCCTCTTTGAAATCATAGTTATCCGATAAAATCAAAGGGAACAACAACTTTTAGCCCCTAAATTTAGGAAAAATCTTCGAGATTATGAGACTAGAAGATTAGGAAAAATCTTGTAGCATATTCTCTCTATACCTCTTTGAAGCCATGGTTATCTGATAAAATCAGGGAGAACAAGTAGTTTGAGCCTGTAAATTTAAAAGAAATATCAAGGATTATGAATTTACCAAAAAAAAAAAACTCTAGGTGAAGGGGGAAGAGACAGAGTGTAAACATAAATAGAAAAACCATTTTTATCTATGGAATGTAGAGAGAGGATACACAAACCCACAAGATTGAAAAAAATTTCGGTTCTTGAAGAATCGAAAATTTTAAATATTTGATTATTCAAAAACCAAATTGGTCATATTTTCGATTTTTGAAGAACCGAAAATACTTTGAATTTGGTTGAACAACCGAAAAACAGTAAAATCTATCTTTTTTAAAAATTTCTGTTTTGACATGACAAAACCAGACCGGTAATAACGGAAACTGTTCAATAGAGCTGTAATAACATAAACTTAAAATTAAGTCTTAAAATCTATCCCAAAAATATATTTACGAAGAGGCCTGCATTTACAATATGCAGATTGGCCGCATAGAAACCGGGTCCGGCAAATCATCCACAAACAACACCTCTCTCTCTCTCTCTCTCTCAAAGTATTTTCTTTCTCCCAACATAACCCACAAACCCACCCCCCCCCCCCCCTCTCTCTCATGACCAAATCTCCTGTTTCAAATGTCTGAGGACTGCGCTCTGGGAATTGGAAGATATGAATATGTTAGGCTTGATACTCTGATCCCTGTTTCTCAGAGGAGTGGTAGCAATCTTGGCCTTTTGAGGTCCCCATGGTCAGAATGCAAGGCTCAATGGAGGCTCGTGGCCCCATCCGTCGCTCTCACCTTCATTCACTACTCTTTCACTCTCATCACTGATTCCGTCACTGGCCATCTCGGCAAGTTTCAGTTTGCCTCACTGGCTATTGCATACACAGTCATGAGACTGGCTTATGGCTTCATGGTTAGTATTCATATCTATATCTGTTTTACTTTATTTTTTTCCTTTATTTATATTCCCCTTGTTTTCTTTTCGAGTGGGTAAGCTCGATTATGCCCTCTCTCTCTCTAATTTACAGACTCACAAATATTCCAAATCAGGACATTTTATAGCTTCTATACCTCTATCTTTAATGGATTTATTACTTTTTGCCGCCATTGACGTCGTTACTGTTATTTCCTAGTTCCTACTTACCAGTTTTCTTCAACATGACAAATGCTTCTAACAAGGAGCTCAGTATTGATGGTTCTATGATTTGTTTAGTGATTTTCACGAGCAGACCATGGAATGCTACAGTTTTATCATCATCATCATCACTATTTCCTTTTCTTTTTTATCAAACCACTTCGGAATATCGTGGTCAAATCTGCCATTTTTTTTTAATAAAAGTGATTCGCCTAAAAAATTGATTCACTCAAATTTCGTCAATTTGCCTAAAATCTTTCCTTCTTGCCGACCAATCCCCGATCTAATTCTCATCAGCTGTATCTTTAAAAATACCCAAAATGTCTTTAACATGCAAGGGTATTTTTGTAATTTAGCCTCTAAAATGGCCTGAACCAAATGACGTAAACCTCCATGCTCATTCCAAGTTCTAAATCCAAAGTATATTTTTTGCATTAAAATCTCTTGTTTTAAGTTGAACAAAGAGTAAACCGGCATATTTATGTCATTTAGAGCCTATCCAATATTATAGGATTCCCCTACTCGTTATGGGTTCCAAACCCTAAATTTGTGCTACTTTATTTAAATCTATCGTTCCTTGTCTAAAACCCAGAACAAGTGGGAATATTTTGGTAATTTATCCCGGACTTTTTTTTTATTTTTTTGAAGTTGTTAATTGTGGTTATTGAACTGACTTCTATTGATTATTTCACTGAATTCACTTATTTTTCAGCTAGGTATGGGTAGTGCATTGGAAACACTATGCGGGCAAGCTTTTGGGGCAAGACAATTCGATATGCTAGGAATATACATGCAAAGATCAGTTGTTATTCTCTTTGCAACCTCTCTAATACTCTCAGTTCCCTGTATATTTGCAGAACCCTTGCTCAGGAAGTTTGGCCAATCCACTGATCTGGCTAAACAAGCTTCAATTCTGATAAAATGGATGTTACCCCAGCTTTTTGCTTGTTCATTGAACTTCCCGATCCAGAAGTTCCTCTACTCACAAAGTCTTATCATGCCTATGTTTTGGGTTTCTCTTGGCCTAGTTTTACCCCACCTGGTTTTAAGCTATTTGTCCGCATTTTCTCTGGATTTGGGGCTTTTGGGTGTCACCATGGTTCAGAATTTGTCTTGCTGGTTGCTGTGCTTCCTGCTATTCATTTATTTAGCTAAGTCAGAGTCATGTAGAAGCTCATGGACCGGGTTCTCTTTTTGTGCCTTGTACCAGCTTCCTTCTTTCATGAGGTTGTCGCTGTTCTCAGCAATCATGACAGTGTAAGTAATAACCTTTTTAATGAACAATGAAAATGGGTCCTTACCAATGTTCAAATGTTTCTCAACTGCAAAATAAAGTGTTTGTTTTTTTTTGTACTTTGAAGAAACTGGTCATTCTCATTTTCAATATGTAGATCTAAAATGGATAGTGTCACGGATACTTCTTGTTTCCTTCTAAGTAAAGACTTGGTTCTTATAATGAACTTCATACTGTATTTCATTTGGGATATGTAAATAAGCCCTCTTTAATCATTTGAAAAATCTGTAATTTTTGAAGAAATTGGACTAAAAAACATAACTAACAGCCTACATTCAAATGCCAGCTTTAAATGAAATTATGAACAATACGGGATTTCTTTCTTTATTTTATGGAGAAATTGGTGCATTCTCCGTTTGCAATTTTTAGATCAAATTGGTACATCCAGCTGTAGTTCTTACATCCGTTTGAAGTTATTATTTTGAGGAATTTCACTCCCAAGTTGTCACAAATCCATAAATCACCATCATCATCTAAACCTTATCTCAATTATTTGAAGTCAGCTACATGAATCACGTTCTTTTATTTTTCTCTATCAAATGCCATATCGTGACTAAACATATCTTTTCTCACTACTTCTATCCATGTCCCTTTAAGCATTTCCCTTGCCTTTTTAAAACGTTCCACTTGAACCAAATTGCACTTCCTAACCAATGCTGTATTAGGTCTTTGCTGCACACGGCCCACCTAAGTCTACTTTACCTCATCTTATTGCCTATTGAAGCCAGTCACAAATCCATAAATAAACCTTCACATGAACTCCACAATTTTAAACCTTGGAGTTAAGCACTATTCATGCATTACCTAATGAACTGAAACTTTCTGGCGTTGGACTCAAAAGCTTGCAGGTGTGGTATTATCAGGTCCTTATTCTTCTTGCAGGGACATTAAGTGATCCAGAAATCGAGATAGATGCACTATCTATATGGTACTCAGATCTGAACCTTCTTCAAATGCAAGCTATATAAAAATGTTGCACAATCAGAGTTAATCAAAGTTATTTTATTTTACTTTCCCATGTCCTGAGCATTAGTATCATTAAGATAAGTAAACAATAGATGCAAGAGATGCTCTTTAATATTTCTACAAATTATAATCTAATCTTGAGCAGGCTTATGCAAATGCAGCCTCAACATGATCTGTTTGGAGGTGATGGTTCCATATGGATTCAATGCATCCACAAGGTATCAACCACATGCTATTCATTTTCACATTAAATCAAATCAGAAGCTATCTTTTACATATTAGGTGATGTTCAGTGGACTCACAAGGTATCAAGCCCAGTACTACAGATTTTTACCTTTTCCTGTTGAACCAGGATTTGGCTTACCTTTCTTGAGTTACACCAAATCACTGAGAGACTTCCTCTCCCCCTCCTCCCCCCCCCTTCTCTCTCTCTCTC